CACGAGGTCAATATCGCTAGCCTACTGGCTTTATTTTGCAAAGAACCTGCGCGTACCACGCGTATGGGTATAGCTTTTAGAAGCAAGTGCGTGATAGAATTCTCGTCATTTTGTCGACCGCGATTTAGTTACTTCTTTGTGCGAAAAAAGACTTTGGACTTACCTTTTGGACCGTACTAGCGGTGATTCACTTGGCAAGCATGGTGTGAAAAATTTTCGCAATTGTGACTTTCAGTGCGAGCTTTTCATCTAAGACGCACTGGATTAGGCTTGTCTGATCACATGTAGATCTTACTACTGGTAAAAATTTTGTAGATCATGGCATTTCTAATTTTTTAAAGTCTAATTTTTTTTCAATTTTTGCATACGTTAGCTAGTAAATAAATTATGTAAACTAAGATTGTCTCTGTATAAAGTCATTCTTTGATCGATTAAGAACCTCCGAAACATTGAAATATGTATGAGTCTAATTTAAATGTATAGCTAGTAATTAAAGAATTTCGTTCATTGATACATTAATAGCTTACATTTTACTTGTCTGACTAAATATTGGTTGTACTACTGATTAGAAAATTATTTACTTACACCATATGACGTTCATAGGGAAAAGGTTAATTATCAGATTATAGGTTTAAAAATGTGACTATGGAGACGATTACCAAAGTTTTTTTTAACGATAAATACATGGACTCTTGAATTGATGTTATTTTCTTTGACGTCAATGACAATTTTTTCAATACTGTATTTAACATTTTTATCGCTTGACTACTTGAAATTCTTCATGAAGCCGTGGATAGATACGTTTGATAGTTTTAAGTGCACAAGTCTGACCAAATATTGATTTTTCTACTGGTTGAAAAATTACGTACATCATGATGCATCAGATAGTTTACGAGCGTGATCAGCAATTGTTTTGAAATGTTTTTTTACTCTAGTAAAAACTTTTACCACTCAAGTTTAGTAACCGAGTATTTTTTTATTTATATTGATTTATAAATACTGATGCCCTTTAACAAAAGTTGTAGTCTTGTATATTAACGTTTCGACATTTAACATTGTATTTTACTTTGCTGTCATTTAATTTATAAAACTTTGAAAAATTAAAATATTAGATCCTTTGTACTAGATTATATCGTACTTTTTTGTGTACACTATTTACAAAGAGATTCTGCTGTTATAATGTCATGTATATTTGGCAGTGATAATACGAGTCACCAAAGTTTAGTTTTCCACACAACAATAATTTATTCTTCAAATATTACGTCATTGAAAGCCTGGGAATGAGTACGGACTGACATTGACTAACTGAACAAATCTAATAAAAAAATTGTACTAACGAATACTGTACGGAACATGGCTCAAAGTTGTAAACAAGGGTGACTATGCAAACAGAGCAAACTTGGTCGAAGATGGGGAGGAAGAAAGGAATCTTTATGACTGCGTAACGCGCGATCGATTTTCACATCGGTTGACATCGCGCAGTTTATATTCCCATACTAATGTAGCTGCTACACTTAGGAGCTTACCTAAAATAACTTGTCGGTTTTATACGTATGTATTACATTTTTTAAGTGTTTCAAAACATGAAACTTTTTGTGTGGATATTAGTACCTACTCTCATTTTGCAATCGTATTTTTAATTCGGTGTGGGATGCGTTTTGATGGCGGGAAAAGCAGTGTTTATCGAACCAGTTGGGTGATGAAAAATTCCTTCAAAGTTAAGTTGAACTATTGGAAAATTCATATTCGATTTTCAGTTATTTTAACGAGCTAGGAAGAAAGTTACAACGAGCTCGTGGGAGTTTGAAAAAGTTTGTGCTATTGTAATGAGATTTACGGTAACGATAATTCACCAACGGTATCATCTAAACTTTTGGAGTGCATTTACAGTTTTAACGAAGTGGACCTGCTTCAGTGAAGTTCCCAATAAACTACGTGCACCTCACTTTACCATGGACGAGTGTAAAAGAAACAAGTAAAGCAAAACGCCAAAAATGATATGTCCTTACTTAAGAGAAAAATATTGGGATTCAATACAAGAAGAAAAATAGCGAGGAATAAAGGTTTGATTATATTCTGCTCTCCCAAAAAAATACTGAGCTCGTAATCCAATATTGTATCTCAGCCTCAGAGGAATTTCCGCTCTTGTATTCATAACGGCTCGAGCGACTTGGTAATATAATAATCTTCAGTCGTCGGCAGTAGGACCTTTTTAGCTAGAAAATTTCAATGATTGTTTGATCACGAAAAATTGTGTCCCAAACAGTGACCACGTTAGGAAAAATTACATATTGAGTTTCGTAAAAAATCCTCGGTCGATTCACATAGTTGTGCGTGAGGCTGACTTAACTTTATCTTCAAATGTCGAGTATTTCAGTAACCTATGGAACAATTTATTCAGCAGAAAAATGTACCCACCTCCCGGCCGAACAATACCCAGATTATTTCCCCAAACTCGCACTGGACTGCTTTCATCGGGTAAATCGTCTGGCTTGATGAAAGCTGCTGTAGCACGGCGTACAGGAGAACGGGGCAGTAGATTAGCATATCGACCGGTCGAGCACACGCCCGTGCCTGAGAATGAAAAAACACCGGTAGTCTGAGGTATTCAAATTTTTTCATTTTCCACGAAAAATATGGAATGGAATTTTCTTTAATCTGATACTGGATAATGGGGTTTTGGCGTTTGTTAAACACTAGGTCAAAATGTCTCGATTATTTGTGATTTATAAAAAAATGTAACTACATCAAGAATGTTTAATTACGTCATCGTCACCACGAATCTGATGACCATTCAACAATCAGCACAAGTTGGGTAGAAAAAATAATTTTCAGCAATTGAATGATGATGAGACAGTCGCGAAAAAATGACAAGAAGATGCCAAGCCGAGATCCCACGATTTCGTAATCAGATTTCTCTCCAATAGACGCCTTGGATACCAGCCAGCTCCTATTCAAGCCTTTTTCTTTATCGGTAATCGACTTGCAACTGATTCGAAAAAAAATAGTCTCGTTTATGTGAGGTCTGTATGGATATAGGCAAAACTATTTTGTTTTAGTATACGATAAATTGCATACACGATCAAATTTGGTGCCATATCTAATGAACAGCAACAAGACATTTTTCAGTTATTTGAAATAAAAATTAACACAAAGAATATTTTTCTTCGCTTCCTGGTGCGTTGTTACAAACAGTCATTACTGGTTGAGCCAAAATCATTAAAAAATAACTAAGTATATACGTATCCTACTTCTATGGTATAGTCAGTCAATTTGTCATTAACAATTTGAAACTGTTTGATTTAGACCCCCAAGTTTCTTCGAACAAAAAATCGTTAACACGCCCACCAAGCCATTCGGTAGTAAAAAATAAATAAAAATTTTATTTTGACTTTTACTTGTGCCATGAAACTAGGAGTCTTATCGTACGTACGAAGAGCAATGGTCGTTAGTGCTTCCACAGCTCGCGTAGTGTAAAACTGGGCGGGGTCACCAGCACTCCCTCTAGCACTTTCTTCCGAAATTCAAGCGTAGATAGAAGACCCGTTCTCTCAAAGTGCAATCTTAAGGCTTGTTCTTGTAGGGTGGGTGTGAATCTTACTTCGGGGGAAGCGTTGGCTGCTGAAACTCAATTAAGAAACATAGGGGAGGAAGTGTTGCAGTGACAGGTTCTGCTCGTATATTTTTCTTGCGTTCTACAGTCTTCTGTACTCGAGAACGGAGCAGAGGAGAATCCAAAGTTCCACGAGTTCAGAGTTTTTAGGTGTGAAAAACAAGTTTTCAAAACTTTTTTGCGGATACTGTCAAACAGTTGAGGTGGCTTCAAGTTTGATGTAGTACATGACATTGTGCACTTATCTTAATTGTGACAGTAAAAAGATTTCCGGGTGAATAATTTTTTTTTCTTTTTAATCTCAAAGTACCGTCTACTTTTCAAGTATTTTATAAATCATGATTCAAAGCATACTTATAATTGTCTATTAATAGGTTAATCTAATGCACTTGCCACCTCTGTAAGAGCATCAAAAACGTTTTAGCCAATCGTTAGTTATTTCAGTTTTTTTTTTTTTTAAATGACTTTTGTTTTAAGAAATAAAGAGAGAGGGAGAGAGTGCTTGAGAGTGGGATGAAAAAAGAAAGTAATATTCCAGTTCATGGAGTGCAAATTAGTGTCATCAGGAGATCATAAACGAGTCCCTGCCTCGCGAGTTTCACTCATTTAGCTGCCGCTTGTTATCTCTTAAATGACAAGGTGCCGCGTGTTTCTTTCTCACTCTCATTCACTTTCACCGCCAAGAAGCTTTGGCACCAAAACCTTTAAATTTTATGCGAGGTATTTGTATTCCAGACCACTTTATTACTATCGCTCTAAGCTGCTGATGGAAGATCTCTACAATAAAGCCGTTTAGTAACAATAACACAAATGTAACCTCTCAGAAGCTCATTTTGTTGCCTACCGTAAAATTTTAATTTTTTTTTTTTTTTTTTTTTACCACAAAAAATTGTTTAAACAAGTTTTTTCTAAAAATAAAAAAATAAAAATCAATCATCCCTTCCCCACTGAAAAAAGTCACAAATGGAAACATCATGAAACCCCAACTCACGAGCACAAGGTCCTCAGCTCGAAAAGAGACATTATAAAAGCCGAAAAAAACCAAGCACCAGACCTTTTTCTCTTCACAGATAGTCCCAGAAAAACATGAATATCCGGCCGTCGTCCCAGACACGAGTGACGACGTAGCTAAGGTAAAGCTCCAGAATTTCGAACGGCCTCCACGCAAAGGAGCACGCGATCGGATCTGCGCTCAGGGAAGAAAGGAGCCTCCACGTTTGTCGACGTACACGCGGTCCGTAGTCCCGAGCGTAGCTCAAAGTCCGTTCGGACGCGTTGGACAGGAAAGAAGGTAGAGTGTCGAGAGGCCACGAAGGAGGAGGAGGAGGAGGAGGAGGAAGTTCGGGCGTGAGCCGAGTGCAGGAGCGGTCGGGCAATACGGCTGGGAGCCGGGCGAACGGCCACTGCACGGTCAACAGGACCCGTAGGAAGCGGCGAAGGCCGTTTGTCAGAGCCTCCAGGGTCAGCTTGAAGCTGCTACTCTTGATACTCTAGTTCGCGAGTGCGGGAGTTTTACGTTCCATAGCCAACACCAGATAATCAGGAGGCGCAAACATGGCGTTCGCTGCTGCGAGGATGATACTCAAGGATAAGAGGAGGAAGCCGAGCAAGGAGGACTTTGCGCCCCGCAACAGGAGCAAGGTAACGCCTGCCTGTACACACTTTGTACGTTTCTCGTACCCGCGTCGATATTACGTGTTTTTATGATTTATACATTTATTTAGATATATGTATATACATATACATATCTAGACATCATACAGGTAACTTTGCGCTGTTTTAGTCTAGTTTAGTTCACGTAGTCTATAATATAGATGGTGTTTATATAGTCCATTATTATGTACATACATTTCGAGATGAATCTCCCCCACCCCCAATCATCAATCAGCCCCTTTACTCTGTTAGTACTTGAGGCGTCCCCGGTAGCTGTACTGTTTACGGCACGCACACGTGATACCCCCTTTGCTTGTCCTGTGGAGGGTAGCCAAAGTATTGCCACTTTGATTGCTCCACTGTAGGGGAGTGACGAGCAAGTAAAGACGCAGCTGAGGGCTTCTCGGATTTCGATACTGAACACGCTGTTTGATGTATCCTGCGTTGATGGATTCTCGGGACTTATCTCCGTTTTGTTGGTCTACGAGACCAGTTGGCTGATTATTCATTATCGGTTAAATTTTTATCCCTTAGTTAGTATCCAGTTTACTGACAGTGTTGAAAACAAATTTTTAATCATAAAAAAACAACGCTATATCCTTGACCTAACTCTAGGGTTACAATATTTTAAGCCTCCTCTTAACGAAATAATCCTCTGAGCAAGTGTTTTATTCGTTTAGTTTTCCATTTGAGTGCTTTTTAATTTAATAATGCACTCCCGCCGTGTCTCTACTTTTACGTACCACAATTTTGGTGTTGAACGAATTTTGCAGATTAAATTTTCATTTTATTAACTTCGTCGATGAATACTTCATAATAAAAAACGAAATTTTGACAAAAATTATCTCGAGTCAAGTGTTTAAAGAGTCATAACGAAAGTTTAAAAGAAAAATTAAACAGCAAAGCCCCATCGTTCACTTTTTCTAGCAATTATCATCATTGTACTACCTAAAAAATGATACACTTGACAGTATTTAAATAAAAAAAATTCAAATTACAATCTTTGAGCTTGAAAAGTGACCTATAAACGTGACCCAAAATCCCAATTATTCATGCATAAAAAAATATTTTTTTTAGTGCTAAAAAAAGAATTTAGTATTAAACATTAAACTAAACACATCAGGTGTCCCACACATAAATCATCGGACCAGCGCAATAGCTCTGATGAATCGTTTAGCGTGACATGCCACAGCGTTATCCGAAACAACTAATCATTTGCAAATAAATTCGCGTGCAAACTTGAGCAGCTTGGCTCCCAGCAACTGAGCAGCTATAAGCTCATGCACGCACCTGCTCGTCGTTTGATATGACGCCTACTAACATGAGTACTTTGTGCAACCCAAGGCCTGCTCACGCGAGATAAGACGTTTCTAATTAAGAGATAACATTTGTAGTGGGAAAAATAAATAAATAAAACTGAGAACTGCTTTATTCCAACGACATAAAATTCAAAAGCTCTGACTAACCGAAAGAGGGAAATACCTAACGATCCGAGCTTTATTGCGAGTTGACGATAAAAAGGTGACGCAGGGCATTTTTCAGTGTCACGTAGACTATGCTATAAATTATTTGTGGAGGAGAACAAATTTGCATTTTCCCTCACGAGTGTGGGATCGTCAACTTTACTTGGCTCTTGAGATTCACACCATTTTCTTTTTTGATGTAAAATTTTCAGACTAAATCACTAATTTTCTTCGTTAATCAATCGCGAGCTCTGGTAATTTCGTTCGCGTAGTTTAAACAATTATCATGCAAGCAACGACCATTGAGAATCGATTTTTCCAACAATAACTCCCCCCAACTACTACTACTATCCCGCGTTTTTTTCTGAAAAAGTCGCGGTGCAATCGGTACCAAAGTCGAACTTGTAATTCAATAGCGTTGGCAACGATTTAAAATTTATTTCACTCCGAAAATAAGGCGAAACTAGAGCTGCCATCCATTATACTCAGCCTCGAGCAGTAGCACAAACTCTTTTCGAACTTTAATCGAACCTCGAACTCGTTTATCGCGATTTCTCCGTATTTACTTTTCAATGCATACAGTGTTAGTTCTTTATGCTTTTTATCTCCAGTAAAAGAACGTCATTGTTTGCAAGATGGATATTTTTATCAGTCGAGGCTTTAATCCTTGCTCATACATTATGATCATGCTCTTGAGCTGCAACTCATGATTAAAGAACCAAATCCCATAAAGGATTGGTAAGTTGTCACGGGGCATGTACACGTGGAAGGGGATGCACGCGTTCGCTCATTTTAATCAGAGCACCGTTGTACGCACACGTTTGTGGCTATTATGAAACTTAATCCGCTTTGCCTTCAATAATCTGGCAAACATTTAAACGGATGAGGATACTCATGAAACGAAGTTTGTCCAAGCTATGCCTAACGAATTCATGCGCACTTAGTGATTATACTAATTCATCTACACCGAGCTTATCATTGCAGAAGCAAAAGGTATCGCTTATTAAAGTGTCCTCATTTTAACGATTTCACTTACTGTCGTGGGGTATCGATGTTCTTTGCACTACAGTAATTATGTGGCTAGTTATTATTCTAACAGCAGAAAAAATAGTTCCTTGTACACGCTTAAATAATAAAAAAGTGACTTCCTACCCAGCAAACTCTATCAATGCAAGTTCACATCGAAATTCATCATAACTCTTCTCTTCTTTTAAAAAATACCCAAGCACCTTTTCAAACAACATGTTACAAAAGCACTGAGTTTTTTATCTCTTTACCATCCTGCTCTCCGTCGTGAGTATTAGCCTTTGATCAGATAAAGCGAACACTTTGTGCACCCTGCCAGCGATTAAAGGCCCAGAGAACGCCCTAATGACCGCTATTACTCCGGATAACGGGAGATATTTCATTAGGCTCATAGCCTGCAGGCGTGGCATAGGCGTCTGATAAAAAAAGAGTAATTTCATCTCCACCCGTATTCAGTTGCGTAATATTGGTGGGTCAACAGTATACCCGCTCTCTTCTGTGTCACGATGATGGTGCCTTAACGAAATTTGATAAGTGTTACTGATCTTCAACGGATGAACAGAAATACGAAATATAAGGCAAGGCAATAGCATCTCGAGATTTGCTTCGTTTTCAGCAGTCTCTTCCAGCTGTTGAAAAGATAGTGGGATAACAGAAAATCAAACAGACAAAAGGGCCTGACTATCTCTGATCCAACATCCTACGTAAAGTAATCCTTTGCAATTCTTCAACATCCCATCAGTTCGTAGAAGAAACAACAGCTTTGAGAATACACAACAACGTCGACGAAGTACAAGAGAAGCGTACGATATAGGATGCAGCCTTCGAGCCAAATCCCCGAAAAGTGTATCTCGTTCGTTATTTCACTCGAGTTTGCGAAAATCCAGAGCCAGAGAGGAGGTCCTGCAACCGAGGGAAAGTCGTTTTATCGATTCTCCAAGGCGCGCGCTCATCGGGATGAGGAGAAGGGTGGGCGAACGCTTTTGGCTAGCTCTTCCACTCCTTTTTTGTGATCTTCTTCTTCTTCTCATTCTTATCGAGGATGAGGGCATTTCTCACGGGCTACACTCCGCCTCTCACAGAGCTTTTGATAATAGCCTGGACAAGAGCATGTGTATCCTGTCGTCCCTGTGGTGGTTCTCCTTTTCCGCTTACTCCCTCCATCTCTCTCTTCTGGTTGTGTACGTGTACTTAAACGTGAAAGGATGTTGGTCGTAACACATTGTGGCCAGCTATGCCAGCTAATGCCTTCTAACCCGTGAGAGTTTTGGACACCCGTCGTTTCGGTGAACTCTACTGCAAGTCCTGAGCAAGTTAGTGGAAAACGGAAAAGCACTGTGGAACTAGGTTGTATATGTGTACACGTTGCGTAAATGTAGCGTTTCTTCGCTCATTTTTTGCGATTTCCAATTTTATCTTTGGTATTCAATTTTAAGCTACAAGATAACTAAGATATCAATTATTAAAAATGCCAAGAAATTATGATCTACAAAATCCAAAACATTATTCGTAAATACATTGTCTAGACATATTGTTTGACGAGGAGGGAGGAAAAGAGCTTGCAACAAATTGCACTTAGCAACGAAATGTTTGGAGGTCACGTTTGCAGAATAAAAACCCTTTGATCCATCTGTAACGTACGATATACAATTGTAAGTTCTTAAAGTTTAACAAATTATTTACGTATGCTCTTCAAGTCTCATAACTTTTTTTGCTGATGATTTCTTTGAGTCTGTGGATATCACTACATGATTTTTTTAGCCCCAACAAACTCACGTTCATTTGATGAGCCTATGACTTTAAAATCGAAACTTTTTTCGATCATCGAAATTTTCTTCCACACAAACCAATTCATCAAAGTTACCAAGTTCACGACCCAAAGAAACACAGTTTTGGGCAATCTCATAAAAAGCAATTGAAAAAAAAAAAAAAAAAAAAAATAAAGCGAGAACATCAATAAAACTTCAAAAGCGGAGTAAAATGCACACAGAGAATTGACGCTCGTAGTCACAATCGATTTCCAGTCTGTCCCTCCTATCGACTTTATTTAGTCCTAACGGACATCGCGAGTCATTTCCATGCAGCAGAAACAGCATAGCTCAACGATTGTATTCCAGCTACAACTATGGGAGAAGAACGCCACTGCTTGCCAAGAAAAAAATTGCGCTCTCTCATGTATCGATGAACAAAAAAAAAACCACTGTCACTGTGTGAAATCGAAATTCGCTAGCTGGTTGCCCACGTGTATCATGAGAGTTAGATTAATGGTCAAGCAATTGAGCTCGCGATGGTATAGATACACTGAGGCAGGGCCATGAAAATGAATGAAACGAGAGTCTGGGGAGGGAGAGTGAACAGCAGTACCTTTCTTGCTAAAGTATACGAGACGGAAAAATCTACGTGGACAATGACTAAACCTTACTCCCAAATCGATATCATAAAGAGATGATGGATGTTGATTATGTAATGTTTCAAGCAAAATGATTATACTTGTATAACGTAGCGAAATTTTTCTTTATCCCTATCGCCTCGCAATGTTGAATTTATGAATATCGGTCCCAGGCGGTCGATCCAATGGATACGATAATCGATTAAATCACTTGCACGATTTTTTCATCGATCGTTTACCAGAGGGAAGAGAGCATGTATGGAGCGTACAGCTTAATTAAAACTCTTCTCAAATTTATGCGTGCACACGGTCGTTGGGAGCAAATTTAGATAACCTGATTGCACCAGGGCTAATTGTATATTAATAAGGCTCTAAACGTATGGCTGTGCAAACAGTATTTTCTCCCCCGGCTGGAAAATAGATGTACCGATACATAATATTACGGGACCTACTTTTGCGCTGAAAGAGGACGAGAAACGTGCACTGTGTGTGCAGACCTTAAGCGAAAACTTAATTAGCGGAGATTTAAACCTTAACTTAATCAAATTGCTGAATGACTTTACTTACCACGTGTGATGTTATTGAAGCTGTTAAAGTTAATTTACAATTTTTGGAGATAGCGCGTGCGTTTGAGAATTGATGGAAGAAAGCAGTTTGGAACTTGAAATTATCAGTTGTACGGACTCTTTGTGATATAACTTTTGGTGTTTCGCGAAAAATATATGAACATTTTGGATTATTGAAATATTTTTCGAAAACTGATGCGAAAAAATGTAGTCATAAATTTATACTAGTCAATCATTCAATTTATGAACGTTATCTTGCTTAGCTCATAAACTTTCGCTTAAGAATAAATACAATCAAATCACTGACAAGCTGCTGAACTCAAGATACGCAATATGCATTGCTAGCTTCATGTCAAGCTGGCGAAACTTTTTATGTTTTAGTTCGTTAACCAGCAACAAATTTCGTCTTTGCATAACTTATTAGTAACAAGTAAACGACAAATAGTCTATAGATTTAGAAATAAGGGGTGCTGCTAGCTTAACATACGTGACCAACGTTGAATTTTTTCCTCTTTTTTTAATTAATTTTTGGCGTGAGTGCTTCGGTCGTAAGTTCTATGCTCAATCTAAACTGACTAATTTTCAATTTTCCCATTTAATGTAATTATAAGAAAACCAAAATCAAGAAAAACGACAATTGTGGAAAAAATTAAATTGCATATGCAACCCTACAGTGGTAATTATTTCAGATCTTTAATAAAACTCAGCCTTGATGTGAAGAACAGCCCCTCGACTTTTTCAAAAAAAATCAACCTTCTTCAAAATTCTCTCAAAAAAAACATTAAAGAATCTAGGATAGGTCAGAAGAGAACGATGCTAAACTTTCGTATGCAAGTCAGACTTCTACTTTTTTCACTATAGTGAAAAGTGGAAGGACAGACTTTAAAAAATTTTATTTTTTAAATGTATTACAATTTTTTATCAATTTTCTGACAAAATGTGTAAAACTCAAAATTTTCTATATTGTAATTAACAATTCCCAAATATTTGGTAAATCAAGACACTTATATGAACGCATACGTAGCCAAAAAATTAAGGTACCCTTCAAAAGTGACTATTAGATAAATCATTGATTCCCAAGTTACGAGAGTAGATCCTAGGTGCTCTCCAAAATCACTCTGAACGTGCAATGAACACGACTGTATCCACGGCAATTGCCAGCACACGCATACACGTAATGTACAATTAACCCCAATCCTTCACAAGGGAATACACGTCCACCCCAAAACAACGAGCAGAAACATTATGTGCACGAGCAGTGCCTTATACATTTCTCCACAGAGAAGAGCAGTAGCAGCAGCAGCAGCAGCTCGCACACTTGTACGTTATCGCCACCCTCTCTCTCCTTGCCCTCTTACCTAATACGCGTGTATCAATGTCAGTCTCTCTGTTTGAGTATCACCAGCCCACCCACTACCCACCCCAAAAAACTCACTCGTTAACCACTTAAACTCTGGTAATCTGCATCCACACGCTTGTATGCGCACATATTTTTGTGTAAACGAGTACACCTACCCACATCCACATAAGCGTACACTCTGCAGAGAATACACACGTGGGAACTTTTTTCCACCTACTCTGTGTGCCATTTTCTCCTCCCGACCCTCTGTTTTTTTTCTGCGATTCTTCTCTTACTATGTACATGTATGCACCCACTACTACTATGCTATATTATAAGTAACAAAATCAAAATACGTATAAAAAAATTTACTCTATTTACTCTATCTATAATTTGTCTTTGTATACATCATACATATAAATACATTTTTTCATATTTTATATATACTATCATTATTTTTCACATAATAATTGTGTATGCTTTGTTCAACTTTTTTACTCTCACGTTCTCTATGTAACCTTTTTACTTTCTATGACTCTATATGCAGTTTAGCGTGTGGTAATGAACCGTACTCTCTGTACTTGTGTTTTTGCAGGCCCGCAGCGCCAGTACAAGTAGCTTTAGAAGCCTGAGCCAGGTACTATATGAATATGGACAAAAACAAAATTTTTTTTTCGTTTTTTTCGTAAAATATGATTCTTTTGTCACAAGTTCGACTTCAATTTTTCATAGGAACGTCAGTAGGACTAGTACGAGAGCGCATTTTTTTTGTTTTTTTTTTTTTAGATAGAAACCTGATTACTCATACTATACGCTCTCTTAGCATTAGTCTCAGGCGTGTGCGTACTTTCGTGGCTGTAGATTGACTAGTCGATCTCGTTAGTTAGACAACTGCACTTTTACTGAGCTTATGTAGAACGCACATAACAAGACACCTATTACAATGAGACCAGTTTTTGTTACCCTTTCACAGGTTTAAGGGATTCGAGTCAACGTATGGTCAGACAATGATTCGACGCTTTTCTCGCACTGTGTGCTTTTTGTATGGAAATTGCTGTACTGAAGACACGTGTGTCACTTTTAATTAAAAGCTTTCTCATATATATTCAAAAAGATTAATTAATTGATATTATATCAAAGGCTTGTGCTTAATGTAACAAAATGTATTTTAAATCCCGGTACCAACGCGACAAGCTGATTTTTTTTTTCGCGACAACAATTAAGCTACAGAACACTCAACTAACGCACCTACCGATGTATCGTACCACAAGCTCGCAGTTGAGTCGCCGCGTACAATCACACTGATATAGATCTATTGTATACGCTAACCTCGAGAACTGTAAAATCGCAAGCGAAGAAAAACTGGAACAACCCGCCCAAAGTGTACACACACGATGAACGAGAAAAAAAAGTGTACCAATTGAAAAACGGGGTCACATGTATACACATACAGTCAACCACGCATGCATGCTAGCACCAGATAACTCTTCAGCGAGAAAATGACGAATGAGGCATGCACCTTCATCTTCAGCACGTAATAGCTGGACGTAGTTACGCAGCAGTGCTGACATGACTTACTAAAAAGATACAAAGTCACTGCTGCTTTTGGCGACCCACTGATGTATGCACTCATTTTTTTATTTTATTTATTATTTTTTTTTTTTTTGTTACTCTTACATTTACTTGATTCTTCTTCTTTAATACTAGAAAGTGTGGCTGCGCTGCTCAACAGACAAACATGTCCACACAGTTAGACTAGTCAGCAGAGAAAATGCGTGCTGGTGGTGTCTAGAGACAGAGTGAAAGTAGCACGAGCACGTGTATAGTGAAACGATGGTTATTGTTGTTACTATTTGTTATTGCATGAAATTTCGTTCTTTACAGCGTGTGCGCATAAAAATCAGATATATACTTGTCTCAACTTGTTTTCTCTATCTCTTTCTCTTTCTCCTCCTTCTCCACTATCAAGAAATTCTCGGTGGCCTTTTTGATGAAGCTGACGTTACGATACTAAGGACACTTTTATGTGATAAAATGTATAAGCTGACATGAGTTTTTTCATCCACTACATACATTTTTACTAAATTTCATTGTAGGTTTATTTTAATTGGAAAAAGTCGTCTATGATTTAAGAGAATAGAAATACTGCCTGAAATGGGAAAGAGACTTGTGACTTTATTTTGAAAATATAGATACTTGTGAACGCAGTGAATATTTGACAAAACTTTTCCAGCGCTTAAAAAAATATCGTGTTTTTTAAATCCACCAAAAGTTTACATTTACGCATAAGTAAAAAAGTACCACCTAAATACGCATACAAGGACAGCGGGATTCAAGAAGTGTTTTTTTTTTCTGTGTGAGAGAAGATTTTTTTTTCAATTGAGGTCATATTTTGTATTATACGTCAAGTAAGTAACAGCTTTAATTTATGAAATTGCTGATCTGAATATGGGTCACGGTATATTGCGCTGCTTGTGACATAAGATAAATTCTAAAGCCGAATATCAACTGACTTAGTATAAGTATAAGATTTTGTGATGTCGTAATGTAAATTTCTACTTAATAACCGTATTATTCCAAATTGTTATCATCTATTAAAGTTAAAATATAATGTGATTTGAATTATAAGTAAGTTAACATTTTATTTGCCTTTATATTCGAGTCGTGCAAAAAACATACCTTATAAAATATTGTAACAGATTTTCTTACTTACAAAATGTAAAATTCAGTTTACTATTTACACGAAGTTATATTATACATCGAACAAATTTACGAGCACAAATAAGAATAAATAAATACTGCACTTGTTTTCCTACTAGTAGTTAAATATTAGGTGACCTTTTCATTTAAAAAATGGGGCGATTCAAATGACTATAAGATAAGTAGCAAGTAAAATACAGACTTTCTCAATAGAGAGGCAGTGGCTGTAAAAAGATGCACGTATTTTATCAATTTTTAATAATAGTAATAATAGTAATAACAAAAATAGTAATAATAATAATAATAATAATAATAATAATAATAATAATAATAATAATAATAACCTAAGAGTTCTGGTCAGGGTATTGAAATAAGAGAGTCTAAGTTCGTATACGCTCTTCAATTACTTAACATTTGGAGTAAGTATATTTATTTAATAAATAGAGAGTAGGCAATCGTCCAGGCTGTAAGATAAACAGACCTTTGGATATTACGTAAAACTTAAAAGGTAGAGGAAGCTCGTACTCTTCAAGATTATGCAACAAACTTTTCTAACTTCCTCGTTACTCACAATATAATGGTTTATTTGAATATTTTCACGAAGACTGTCATATTTCTCGTAAACAACCAATACTCACTATTGCTTTCAAGAAATCTCTTTCTCAATGAAAGCTCTAGGCTACCGCTGAAAGTGTAAAGTCAACTCACACATTTCACGAAATTTTTACTTATCATCATACTTGAAATGCCTCATATTTTCAATCTAATGCTTTCCATACTTATGAGGTAACTTGGCCAGCGGGCGGGCAGAGTCAAGGCATCAGGCACTTTAATGGGACGAAGGAAGGGGAGAAAACGAGAGGGAGGAGGACAAAATAGGGTGAATGCACCCCTTGATGCCAGTCACTCTTTCCGCTCCAGTTGTTGGATGAAAAATTTCACGGAGTATTTATTTTGAGCCGGTGTTCGGAATAAATAGCGCTGTCACGAATTGAAAATTAATGAAGGCGAAAGTGCGCGCATTGAGATCGATTTCAATAATGGATCGAAAGAGGTACGGGTGGAATTTTTAATTAGTCACGTTCAGTTTTGTTGAAAAGCATTGTTCGGATGGAACAATGTATGGCAGTGGTAATGAATTATTGGTAAAGTACATGCTCGTGTATTAACATGACATAATCAATCGACTCCCTAACGTATTGTAAAAAAAAAAAAAAAAAAGCTTGGTGACAAACCAAATCTCATTATGAAATCTAGGAGCTGGGAATTAATACGAATCCCTTGTAGTTGTACGCAGATAATCAGAATCAACGTAACCACTCCCGGGAGCATACCAGAGCTGACTTTGGCTAAATGCCGTTACATACAACTAAACTCGGCGTGGGTGGTATGTGACGTTCTCCATTCTCATCATATATTATGCATCTGGCGTTTCTAATTGTGTCATTGATTTATAACTCTGGCAAAACTAGACTATTTTTCATCATTCCTCTACTTTAAAGTATTATAATTTATTAAAATGCATGCGAGAATAATTTCGCACTGGTCACGTGTAAGTAAAATTTCATCTAAAATTTTATCGGAAGAGCCCACACTAAGTGAGCCATTTGGCTCATAAATTACACTTCATGGAGTTTCCAAAAATCAATTCTCTTTTCTCGAGGTACTAAATCCAACGACCAGAAGTTCGAATGTGAAGCAATCTGAATTTCAAAAATTCGACTTCTATCCTGTCGACTCCTGATTTCCTGTACTTTCAAACAACTCTCCAGAGCTACGATAAATTTCTTGGCTACTCGAGCAAGAAGGTCCCGCAAGGCCCAACCTTGATTTCGTCCAAAAATAAAGAGACAGCAAACGCCCTCCAAATTCATCCTCCTTATTCGATTCCGTAGTGACTCAATTTTATGCTCTAAACAAGGTCGTTTCGGATACATTGGAATTCACTTGAACAGATTATGTAGAAAAACAATGATATCACGATGGAAACATATGGTAGAAGATTCTTTATGTCTCCACATCAAAGCAAGTTTAACTCATTCTCCCCCTCCCTTTCAAAAAAAAAAAAAAAAAAAAAAAAAAGATTCCGGTTCACCATGTGGACCTCCATCTCAAGGTGCCAATGACAGTTATCGAACGCCACGTGCGGAGAATGGAAACGAAACATATACATGTATGAATGTCGAAGCAGTCGAGGAAAAGAATCAGCAGTGGTGCTTGTCACGAGATTTGAATGAAATACAGCTCGGAAAACACGATCGATGGCCCAGCTAGTAATGCAGCAGCAGCAGCTCTTTTCTAACACCAACGATGGCAGGGTTGGCTTCTCGTTAATTATTAATCCCCCAGTCCGACTCTCCATGCGCCTTTACATGTATGTGGGTGGATGGGTGGGTGGTTGGGAAATACGTGCGGGTGAGGCTTCGCTTGCCTTGCGTTGCATGTCACTCGCGAGGGCACTGACATTATTGCCCCAGTAGTATAGCAGTGGCATTAGTCAGCCGACAGGAGAAATTGGCTGAGCGAAAAGCGATGCTCGACTCTTTTACAGCTGCATTTCAAATCCTCTTTGTCCGCTCACGGTTTAAACACCACAATGGATTTTTTATGTTGGGCAGAAATTGCTTTTAATTAAATTGGTTGCTGAGTGAAGAAGGAATTGATTCTACTATTATCTGAGGGTTTTGTTGTTAGAGGAAAATTGGATTATCTGAGTCGTTACTATTTTTCTAGCCCTTCGACAGAGATTGAGTTTGAGACTTTTTTTTCTGGTTTTATTTACATATTAATATGGGAGTAGAAAAGCGATTTTATTCGTGAAATCAGCATAGGTGGCTCATCAGTATGGTGTATTGGCACACTTGAGATCTTCTCGTGCAGTAAAAACACGGGGTCAGTAGGGACGATGAATCCGTTCGTGAGTCAAGTACGTACTTT